CAGGGACGCCATCTCCATGTATTCTAACCTCCTTGATTATAATAAGCCATTTCTCCCCGTTTTGGCGTTAAGGCTGTTGTCCGAACCTTAGCAGTGCTGACTAATCAGTATAAACAGAAGTATAACGAAGTTATCAGTATGGTATAAATTTTGTTCGTATTCCAACTTTACCTCCACTAGATCCTAGATTGTGAAATTCCGTTTGATAAAAATTGCATAGTACATAAAAATAAGCTTCAGAAACCATACAACCCGCCCTTTTTAAATTTTATCGTGATTTTATTTTCTATGCATGGCAACAATTTCAATTTCTTTCTTAGCGAGCGAAACGAAGACCCGCGAGTATATCCAAATCACTCGTTGTTAAAATTCGTCTGCAAATTCACGTGTCTAGCAAAATGGGAGATCCAGCTGTTAAAATCGGTGAACTCTCTTTCGGGTAATTATTGAACCTTTTATAATTACCCTACTTTTGAAGACGATTAAAATGCACCTTTCGCGTACTGTGTCATAATATCATATTAAATAAAATTCGAGCAAGGAAAAATTTAAATTTTTACGGTTTTTGTATTTTTTTACTTGTCCTTAAAACTAATAATACAGTTTCAGTATCTGCTCAATCAGCTAGAAGCTTTTCATTCGCGAATAGTCAAATAACTTTTTATATGATATTTTGTAATCCTCGACTGTGATTTTTAATATATATATATATATATATATATATATATATATATTTAAAGGAATGGCGGGCACTTGCCTATTTATCATTGGCCACTCCTAAGGGTAGAAATGATGGCTATTTTATTGTGGAGGTTCAGAAATAGGCGGCCACCGTTGCCTCTTATGATGGGTCGGACAGTTACAACTATGGTTTCTCCGGGATTCGAACCTAGGCCCTTCGGTACCGCAGTAGGCTTCCCCAAGCACTATATACAAGATGTTATTTAACTCTTTGCGAATTAAGAAATTTTACTCCCATCGAGTGGATTATTGAAGCTGCATTATTGGTTTTTTAGAACTTGTAACAAAGTACAGAAATTGTAGGTTGTGTCCTCAGTTCATTTTTAATAGTTATTTTGAGATAGAAAAATATGAACAACAATGTATTTATGTTGAACTAATTTGCACCTTATAATTTTTCTAGCTAATAATATGTTTTTAAATTAAAATTGGTCAGATTAGGGCACATTTAATTATATATACAATAATTAAATCTCCAAGATTTTATCATAAAATTTAAAATGAGGTTTTTTTTTTTTTTTTTTTTTATCTGAAGGCTTTAATGCTATTATATTTAATGTGAAGTGTAAAAACATTTATGCTTTTGAAGTACAGCATAGGATGTTTGCATCTGTCTAGAATAATAATTATTGAATTTTTTGAGAGCCATGCAATTTTATCCCCATGTATTTAATTATCATAATTCATTATTACATTGTGTAGAGAAGTATGTATGTGCGATCTGATCTGCATCATCAGCGATTCAAGTAATAGAACAAAACTGGAAGACTGAACAAGGAAAATTGCAAAAAAGTATATTTTCGTAAAAATAAGAATTTTATTTAGCATACTATCTTCCACTTCACCACCTAAAAAGTTCAGAAGAAAAATATTGTATTTAAAATTTTTTTCTAATTATTTCAGTTTTTAAAGAATTTTTTAGCACATCAAGGATGTATTTTTTTGTTTCACTTTAATACTTTGAAAGTTGTGAAAAGATCCTTTAATATTTTATATTTAGGCATTTTTAATACATTTGTTACCAGAAATGTTTTCAAACTGTCAAAAGTCTGAAGTTGGAAGAATAAGAAACGTGGTGTACTCTTTTAGGATACACCCCATTCCTTATTCTTTTTTGTCTTCCTAATTTGGATGATAGCATAGATTGCCTTAAAGATATCTTTATGCATTGTCTTTTCTGTTATTATTTCAATATTTTTAAGGTGTTATGAATATGTTTTGACACTAGTGATATTTATCTTCTACTGATGTACTTAGGATGAAAGTAAAAGTTCACTTGAATTACTTTTGATGAAAGTAAAATTTGATGTATGTATTACTTATTGTATAAAATCTTTTAGAATTTAATGCTTTTGAATTTTACCATTATACTAAAAATATAGATTGTTCTTTCTATTTGTAGAGAAGGCATACTTCTAGGACTTGGAAATCCTTTATTAGATATATCAGCAAATACTGACCATAGTTTCTTGGAAAAGTAAGTTTTTATTTTTTGAATATTATGTTTTAGGTCAGTTATTACCTTCATTACTATAGCATAATTGCTTATACACTTAATCGCTTTTAATATATGTAAGTATATTTTAACTGTTAATTTTATTATTTATGTTTTAAAAGTACTTAAAATAAATAACAGTTCTTTGTCTCAACATTTTCTCAGTATAAAAATGTCAGAGTATTATAAAATGGAATTAGCTAAAAGAATATTAAATAACATATCTAGCAAACAGCTGAAAGTTCTGCAGTTGACTAGAACAATTACATGCAATAAAATAATACTGAGGATTAAGGGTTCTTAAAAATATTTTTAGGAAATGACATGTGAATATTGTTGTATTATATAGTGTGTCGTTTATTTTTACATTCGTGCTTCATGAGTTTGACAAAATTATGCCGAGATCTTGGCATAAATCTAAAATTGGCAAATATGGTTGGGGGCCCACTGTAACAAAGAAGTATTGAAAACCTTTTATTCTAGATCATGAGGTGCCAGATTATCAAAGAAAATATATATTTTATTATTTTTAAAATCTTTTTTATTTAAAAGAATTTAGTAACAATCAGTAATAGTTCCTATTATTAATCCTGATTTATTGCATGTATGCCAACTTTTATGAATTTTTTATAAATTTTTACAAAGATTGTTCTAGTTTTATGAACAAATTGTGCTGTTTTTTGGTAAGGTGCTAGAAATTATGCCAGTCTGGCAATTTTTTGTTAAGTAAGAATGTATGTGAATTGTATGCTGTTGGCAGGCTTTAGGTTATTAATTTTTATTACATCACTTGTTTCATTATTCAATTTTTGTTATTTACTTTCATTTTTATACTCACTTGTTTTATTTCTATTACATCAAAAGCAAGTTTTTCTGTTTTCGAATGTGAAATCTTTTATTGTGCATCTTTAATTTCAATGACTTATTAATCTTTTTTCATGAATTCGAGATCAGTTTATCAGTTTGTGAGTAAAACTTTTAATTCAGTGGTTTGCTATTTCTCTAGAAAATGTAATAACATTATTACAATATCATTGATTTAGTAACAATAAAATTAACATTTCTTTTAAAAACATTAAAATTTAAAAAACATTGATACATTTATTTACTCTGTCAGGGTCCATCAGTGGCAGAGCTGTTAGCATTGGTACTTTGATATGATTTCAAAACCCATCAAATGGACTACTGTATGAAAGGCTTTATGGTTTTCAATATCTTTAAAGTGAACATGGGCCAGGTGTGTGTAAAAAAAATTTTCCATTAGGCATCCCTTCCCTTTGACAGATAACTCTCGTGTGTTTTGCCATGATCCAAACATTTTGTAGAATAATTTCTCTCGTAGTTTAAAATGTCTTTTTCTGACATTTTTGAACATTTGTATTCTGAAGTTTGAACATGGTAATATAAAGTACAATCTCCAAATTACTTTTTAGCAAAAGAGAAGAACTATGGCAATGTTAAAATTTCTTTTGTCTAATTTTCCATTTTTATTTATAATACATTTTCCCCTACATGTTATTGCTTCAAAATATTCAAATATATATCAGTTCTTTCTGTAAAATTCACTGTAAGTTTTTCTCATATTTCCCAAAAATCTTTTGATAATCAGCTGCTTTATTCTCAAAGCAGCTGAACTTCAGTATATTGTATTTCTCATATTTCCCCTGAAATCTTTTGATAATCAGCTGCTTTATTCTCAAAACAGCTGAACTTCAGTATATTGTAGGGAAGGGGAATTCAAGATACAAGCTAGGAAGATGGTAATTATTGTCACAACGCGTACAAAGTTTATGACATGAAATTTAGATTAAAAAATACAGTACAAAGTCTTTAATCCAGAATGATCTATAATCCGGACCTCAAAGCTACAAACTTTCTGCACATTTGTAAACGCATAATGCGTTCACGCATTCGCATAATATGTTAACTCATGCGAGTTTTAATGTATACGACAGTATAACTAGGCTAAAATTTCTTTTCAGTTAAGTGCATATTATTGTTTCTTAATCTCTAATTGGATTTGCCTTATTATTTTTTGCAGACTTAGAGCAATTTTATAAAAGTAAGCTTGACTTTTCGATTATGTCAAAGAGTTTCTGATCTGGAGCTGCAAGATCTACAAAGCGAAGCTGCTCGATGTACCGCTTCCGATAGTGAAGAAAGTGACAGAGAGGTTAGTGAAATGAAAAATTTCATGATAATTAGTCAGTATTCTCGACTGACTTGAACGTGGTTTGAACAAAATGATGTCGTTTATCGATTAAAAGAAGTATTAGCACAAAAAACAAACACTTACATTAAAAAATGTTTAATAAGTAAAAAATAATATTATTTTTTTTTTTTTTTTTTTTTTTTTTTTTTTTTTTTGTTTTGTACTTTATCATAATGCTCATTTATTGTAAATTACGGTTTCATATTTTTAATTTTATAATTTCTGCATGCCATCCTACCAGATTTAAATTGATGATTTATAATTCGAAAAAACCCTAATCCAGAATCGTCGAAGTCCCAACGAGTCCGGATTAAATACTTTGTACTGTATATGAATGTCCGTGGTTTATTTTAGATTTTAAAAATGAACAAAGAGTTTTGTAGAAGTTTAAGTGAAGTTGTTCAATCAAGCACATAATAGGATCATAAATTTCCATAAATTAATCAATGAATTTTAATTACTATATGAAAGGGTCTCATGCTGAGTTTTATGCAATTAACTTTAACATGAATACTGAAAAGTAAATTATTCGGTAAAAATATATTTACGGGTGCCCCCTTGGCGAAAATTGGCAATTTTGGGTGGTACATAGACCTATTTTCACTTGAAAAAAATATGAGAATTGCACAAACTTGGCATCCCTTGACTTTGTCCATGTACACATCGATCTATTTTCGCTTAAGTCAAAGAATTACCCAATTCTACAGTACAGCCAAACAAAAAATACATAATATCAATAAACTGCATTTTAAATCAAGCAATAAAATAACACAAAAAAAGACATTCATCTTATATATCTAAGGGCTACACAAAGCAAATATGCACTTATCTTATTTAGAAATTTCTAAGTCTTTCAAACTGTGGCACACAAATTTCCGTAACAGCATCCAAAAACTTCCTAAAATTATCTGAACTAGAATTTGTATATCGGCATCGCCGCATAAGTTCACAAGAATAAGAGTAAAAAATATCCTCTCTAGGGTCAATATCCTCCGACGTTCCACCATACGCATTTCCTTCCTTCAAACAGGACACTTATAATGGCTACTAGGTAAACCTTCATTTACTGACATGTCAATTAATGCACTTTTCCCTTTTTGTTCCAAATCATACAGAAATTAAAATTAATCATATAATTATTCAGCGATTCTACTGTCTAAACCACAATCCTGTATGGCACTCTGTTCCTGGTCAGGAGCCATCCTTTCCAGAGTGTTGTCTAAACCACAAAACAAACAATGTACTTCCTAACCAACACACAAGCCCTTGCAAATCTTTTTCCTGTCATTCAAAATTTACGGTAACACTCAATCGATTAGGTCTTACTAGAGTTTCCATAACATTCAACTACCCAGGTTACCATAAAGAAGCAACAACTGGGCGAAAATGAAATGGCAACTTCGCAATAATACAAGGGACACCCTTCAATCTACTCTAACCGATTATTCTTTCTATTTGTAGCAAAGATATATTTCTGGGACTTGGAAGTCAGTTAGAGTAGATTGAAGGGTGCCTCTTGTATTATCGCAAAGTTGTTGTTTTATTTATGGTAACCTGAGTAGTTGAATGTTATGGAAACCCTATTATGATGTAATCTGTTGTATGATTGCAGTAAATTTTGATTATGGGAAAAGATTTGTAAGGGCTTGTGGTGTGTGTTGGTTAGGAAATAAATTGCTTGCATTGTGATTAAATGGTAGAATGTATAAATGTGGTAAGATTAATTTGAAATTTCTGTACGATTTGGAACAAAGGGGGAAAAGAGCATTCATTAATTGAGTGGTGTGTAGGTGAAGGTTTACTTAGAAGCCATTATAAGTTTCCTGTTTGTAGAAAGGAAAAGTGCATGGTCAAAAGTCGGAGGTTACCGGTCCTGCGAAGAATATTTTTTACTCTTATTTTTGTGAATTTATGTGGCATCGCCAGTATACAGATTCCAGTTCAGATAATTTTAGGAAGTCTTTTTGGATGCTGTTAAGGAATTTTGTTTGACTGAAGAAAGAGAAATTTCTAAATAAGGTAAGTGGATATTTCCTGTGTGTAGTGCTAAGGATGAATTTCCTTTTTTATGTTATTTGATCGCTTGATTTAAAATGTAGTTTATTGAGATTATATATTTTTTTATTGGATTTTTAAGTGAATGCAGATCGATGTGTATATGGACAAAGGGAGTACGCAAAATCAAGTTTGCGCAGTTCTCTGATGTTTCTTTAAGTGAAAATAGGTCAATGTATACATGGATAAAGGGAGTGCACAATGCCAAGTTTGTGCAATTCTGTGATGTCTTTTTAAGTGAAAATAGGTCGATGTGTACATAGATACTGAGTTTGTGCAATTCTTTGACTTGCTATTTTTGTCTTTGTGCAGTGGCTATTTTTGACGGAAAAATTACCGTTGCACAAAGCCAAAAATAACAAGTTGCAGAATTGCACAAACTGTGTATCCATGTGCCGCCCAAAATCACCAATTTTCGCCAAAGGGCACCTATAAATATATTTTTTACCTAGAAGTCTTTTATTATTACGAAATGCTTTGGAAAAAAGTAATCAGAAATTTAAGTCTGGTACCTGCTTAAGTCTTTAAAATTAAGTTATCTTTTGTAAACTACGATCAAGGCAAAATAATTCAGAATCTATGTTTTCAGAGTACAGTGCCCACCACTTATTAAACTCGCTGGTTAATAAACACAGCTGCTTATTGCATTGAAATATCCAGGAACCAAAACGAATATATACTAATCGATAGAAAACCGGCTGTGTATTAAACTCAT